AGAGAGAGAGAGACAGAGAGCAAGCATACAGAAAAAAGGAGAGCAGTAATTATTTTATGATTATGTTATGTAATCAAAGCATTCATTTATCAGTGGTGTCTGCAGAACCACTGCTGCCTGCTAGCTTGCTATTTCAGTAAAGAGTAGAGTTGCTCTAGCTTAACTACTTCCAGTGAGGACTGACTATTCCATAACATGTCACTTATTGTTCAGGTAGTCCACAAGCTTACCAACTATTCAAATCAATTCAATTGACTTTTATTTGTATAGCGCCATCATAACAAAATTTATCTTAGAACTCTTTTCAAATAGAGCAGGTCTAGACGGTACTGAAAGCTAGCGTGGCAGGCTAGTGCTACCATGTTAGCGACTAGCTTGACCTTGCAAGGAGTGACTTTGTCCCCAAGGTCGGTTGTGGCTGACTGGCACTAGCATATTCCTGCCTGGCTAACGTGTTATGGGTTAACTTGCCAGCTACAGTATGGTAATTTGCCAGCCAGCCCTATGATCACCACCTATTTCATGCACTGATGAAAGCGGAGCAACTTTTTGGTGCAACCAGCCCTTTACATCAGTGTTACTTAGAAAAAGTTACTTTTAAAATACCATTTACTTGAAAAACTACTCAAAACAAAGTGTGATACATGTTGCAATGTTTTTAGGCATTTTAAAATGAAATTGTGGGAGAAAGTGAAAACTTAACTGCATGGAAGAAAACACACTGTTTGGAGGGTTTGTTTTGGAGGCTCAATGCTTTGTGGAGGAAACTACAACGATTGGTCACATTTGTGGAAAAGTTACAGTGATTGGACAAAATTTCCATCGCACAATTCACTGGGATTGGTTGAATTTGCATTAATTCTTGCAATTGCAACTTCCTGGAGGGACTGAATAATGACAGTCAGTAACTCAAGAAATCAATATGCGAGAGAGAAACAACCAACACTACATTCTGAGAGCACATCAAAACAAAACAAAAAACATAGTACATGCTTGAAAGACCACAAAGTGTGCATTTAACAAAGGGGAGCTTAAGATGAGTCTTTAAATGGGTGAAATAAACCAATAGCAATGGATTAGCTTCTTCACAGAACCTCACAAAAGTTGAAAGAATAAGCAATGAGGGTTTTTTCTTCTTTTTGCAGACAGTCATCAAAGGACACATGCTTCCATTTCTCTCAACAACAAACTAAATGCTTACAGATTGAGCCCGGGGTGAACAATGGCTAAAGGCCTATTACAGGAGCGGCTATGTTTATATGCTGAACAGACCCAGTGTCAATGGATTCTGCTTACAAATCACTACATCGAGGTCTGCACGCTCAACATTCTTACCCAATTTTAAATTGTGGTTTAAACATTTTGTTGAGTCTACACGCCAGAAACCAGTTTGCCGCTAATGTGTTTTTGTTTTGTTCTGCTTACTGTGTGCATTTGCATTCACAGAAGTAAAGGGGAGCTCCGGGTCATGTCCCCCACCTCTGAGGTACCATCAGTGGGCTTTCCTCACTTTGAAGCCCCCCAGCCCCTTCAGTACATCCTGTCAGCGTACTGTACAGAGCTAAATATGGCAGCGCTCTGATCTGTGTTACACAAGCCCGGTTCATCACAGAATATAACTCTCGACCTAATGTTCTCATCAAAGCCTCTTGAATATAAAAAACCTATGAATAAAACATAATGTATAAGGAATAGAAGCACTTGATGCTGATTGGCAGCATGTAATAGTACAGTACAATTGTGAATAATAGGTTATGAAATAGAGCAATTTTTGACAGATGAAATGAACGAGAGGAAATGTGATAAAATGGGATCTTGAGGGTCTGTAAGTGCAGAAAATAAGACTTTTTTTTTTAATTCTGGTGAGTCGTCCTCTGCTATACAATTAATTTTAAATAGTATGATGGAATGATGTGAAGCAGGAAACAAGATTGGAATTCCACCTCGAAATATGAAACCTTAAAGCAGCTACAAGGAATTGTCAAAAAGACAAAAGCGGTAGTTTTTATACTGCCTTGTTTCATTGATTTCAATACTATACAGAAATAGCCTTGATGGCCGTGTTTGTTTATGTAGGTCATACAGAAGCATCAGTATGAAATCGAGACTGTTTCATAACCAGTTAAAAACTTCTTGTAGTGTGTTCAACAAAACAGAAAAATAGCAACCTATATGTGGTATTTGCTCTTGAGCTGAAGAAGGTAACCAATGAGTGAGAAGTGGTGTTGCAGGAGAAAAGGAAGGCTTAGGAAAACAGGGTAGGGTGTGGATGAGTGGTGTGTATTCATTAGCTTACGTGTTTACCCTGGCAGAGAGAGCCGGCCTCTCAGGAGCATCACTGGGCCCTCGAAACAACGAAGACACAGTCAGAGGGTCTGTTTACACTGCGCCCCATAGAGTTCTAATTCTGTTTTTTTTTTTTTTTTGCCTGACACATGACACAGTTCTGATGTTTTCTTATCAGTGTGAACAGCAAAAAACTCAGTGGAGCTGCATTTTTGCGGTGAACCGAGACTACAGATCTGACACTTTGTTATGGTTCCATCAAAGCAGCAAAGTTGATTTTATCCCACAACAGAAAGCTTTCACAGAACAACACACTGACACTAGCCGTAATTTTAAACCAAATTTGGCTATCCATCCACGAGCGTTATGATTATTAGGAGTTGGTTCATTGAAACAATCAGTAGGTGGCAACAAGGCTCCAGTCAATAAAACAAGAAAAAGAGAACCCAACAAGATGATGTAATCTAAAAGAGTGTCATTCAAACCTCAAACTGGTTATTCAAAACCTCTTAATGGCAGACTCTTCAATTCAGTCAAAATGTGAAGGAAAGGACATCTGAGAATGGATTTGATTCTGGCAAACTTCTGTTGGATGTCTTCCTCCTTAAAGAAACAAGGTTTTGGGGCATCCTGATTGCTCAACTGGTAGAGCTAGTGCCCTATGTACCAAGGCTGTGCCATGCAGTGACTATGGGTTCAACTTAGACCCCTGGCCCTTTGCTGCATGTCATCCCCTCTCTCTCTTCCCCCTTTCCTGTCTATCTTCAGCTGTCACTATCCATTAAAGGATCAAGGTTTCTCCAGAGCTTATATTTTTTATAACTTTCCCCAGGGACTAGGAACCTTTGGAGGAAGTCTAGATTAAGTTCCGGGGAGTTTTGTACTTTTCAAAACTAGAAGGACTCTGAGGGTGGGGGTTGCAGCGCTGGACATTTCTGATTGGCAGAATGCTCTGAGCATTTTATTTCAGCCACCATTTTTTTTAAATCAGCAGTAAATCAGCTCATGTTCATTGTGATTTGACACATGAAGTTACAGAAGAAAACATCCGACAGATGGACCATCAATCCACTATCGTCATCGTCACTGTATGTCGTATGCAAAAATTACGTGTCAAAAGAGCTGTTGCTTTTTCATATGTCAGTGGACACATTTGTATAAACAAACAACAGACTGAAGGAACCTTTCCTTTAAAAGTAACTTGTGAAACAAAAAATTCCAGGTGCTTTGGGTGGAAATGCTCAAGGTTGTTTTTTTGACATTTGAAGAGACTAACTAACCCTAACCCTAACTTGATGCGAGAACACTTGAACTTGACCTGAGAGACATCGGACCTTGAGGGAGAGGTTGGGCCTTTTCAAAAACAATTCTATACAGAATTTTGAGTTATTATTGACTATCCATTAAGGGGATTGTATTTTATCTTATGTAAGTAAACAAAAAGGCCTGAGGTGTTAACACAGCTGAGAGAAACTGAATCAAGGCTGATTGTGTCTTCTTTCTCCTTTCTGAGCTGAGCACAGTGCCCTCAAATGAGAGATTTCGGACGCTGACTTGTTTCTTCTTTGGAATTGCTAAATAACAACTACTCAGTTCTTGTGTGTGAGCTTAAAATGGGGATGATGGCATTGGGAGTTAGAAACGTTTGGACATGCTGCCCTCCTGAGGTGGAACACAGGAACAGCTTGAGGAAAGAAAAAAGGGTAGAAGAAGAAGGCAGTAGAAGGTTCTAACCAGAAGATGACGACAAACACAAACAAGCAAAAGATCCCAATCAGGAGCCCCAAATTCACACCTTTGAAAATGTCCCAGATGTAAACATGTGATTCTGATTTTGAACTTATTCCTTCAGAAGTTTCCACAGACCATTACACCTTCAGTTAAACAGAAAACGCAGTTCGCACATCAGTGTTTGGCCCTAAGTTTGTGGGGCTGTTCCTCCTCTGGGACCCTGCAGTACAGCGTCTGTCTTGCCTCATTACCCACAGGCAGGGAGGTCAGCTGAGGGAGGTTAACAGAGCTCCCCTGCTAGCAAAATCCCATGTCACACTTAATGTGTGTGAGAGGATAAACAACATCTGACCTCGCCACCATCCTTTTTGTTACATTGGATGCTGGGGAAATCAGAAGCTATTCCACTAGGGCTTGAAATTTACCACCCAAGTATACAGTTGAAAAGGGCCAGGGAAAGGGTCTACTAATGTTGTAGCACATAGAAGTAGGACATGGATTTGACCTCAATTTCAAAGCAAGCTTCAATTCAGATATTGGAATGTCTTTTAAGTGCATCCATTCTTCATCACCCATCAAAATCCCTTCACTTAGTATTCCTTAGTCTGTGTCGTAGTGGTCTTT